GGTGCGTTTTAAAGTAATCAGATCCAAACAACAGCTACCGGCTACAGTTAATGATATCCACTCGGACAGCAATCAGTAAACTTCTGGTACCAAACAATAATATAAACAGCACGCAAATGGTCTTATTTTCTGAATTAGAGAAAAAGCTTCAAACCTCACTTCTATTATTAGGGTTAGAAAAAGGTGCAATTTAGCCAATTGTGGGGAAAAAAATGTTTTCAAGGTGCTCTGCTGGTGACAAATTCTCCACCATTGAGTTCATCCACACCCTCCTCAGGTGTGGCTTTAAAGGGCGATGATCAGATATTGTGACCAGACACTCCGGTCACCAATGAGTATGAAAGTCCACCTTAAAATGCAACTTCATTCATGCTAAATTGTTTCATGATGTCCATTTTGGTGTGTTAAAACGACAATACTAAAAGAACAGATAGGATTTAATCAAATATTACATGCTTTCTTTATATTTTGGTGAGTATAAATAAAAAGAAGATGGTTTGTTTTGCCACATTACGATGAAAATCCCTCGGAACCTTCTCACAAACTGCAAAGAAACAGCCAGTCTAGCCACACTATTATCGAATAGTATGTTAAAGTTAAGGTCACTTTTTGATGTTGCTATAGTCTGGATTTCCGTAGGTGAATCAAAGGGATCTATTTAGATTTGGCCAGTACAATCAAACAACTCAGGCAAATTGAGTCATTTATGAATTGCTGTGACTTGTCACAACTGAAATACCAAACTTTGAAATGTGATACAGGGAGGGAACTCAGTGTGGAGCCACATATTTACTAGAAAAATAACAAATACACCAAACAACCTGGGCATAGACACTGGATCTCTGAGTGTACTGTGTCCTTTGGGTGGATTTAGCCTTGGACTGCGCTTGTGCCAGTGTATCACAAATACGGTCAGTCAGAGGATCTGAGGAGTTTGGAGGCTGGGTGAAGGCCTTTTTGGTCTTTGTTGTGCTCGCTAAGTCACTTCTTAGTACTTTTTGTGGTGCGGCAGGGCTCACTGTCCTGCTGGGTGAGACTGCTGTTGTTGGGGCGTGCAGTTGCCATGGGAGGGTGCGCTTGGTCAGCAACAAAGTTTAGGCAAGTGTCCGTGCCAAAGTAAACACCAAACGAGTGCCAAGACCCACTGTTTCCGAGCAGAACATCACATTATAACGATATGATCAGAGTTATTCACGTCACTTGTCAGTGGTTTTAATGTTGCGCTTGATCATTATTTACAGAGCATCACGCTAAAGTGGAAAACAGATTTGACACCACTTGATCTACATAACTGGGGCACTAAGATAAGTGCTGCGGTCAATATTTGAAGCCACCACTGTTCCAATGGTGGACTAAAGGAGGAATCACAGAAGAGTTTACACAAACTGCTGCAAACATACTTGGTTTGAACAAATATTTAGTTAAACAGGAATGGAATTTTTAGTGTTTTTTTAAAGTAATCAGACAACACCGGAGTTAAAAAGATGAAATGTAACTCACTGCACCAAAATAAAAACAAAAAAAGCAAAACAAAAATAAAAAAACCATACCAGTGAGGGCATTCTGCTAAATATAAGAGCAAGTAAATTCAATGGTAAGAAAAGTAAAAACTAAATGGCAAAAAAAAAAAAAAGGAGTTTCACTCTGAAGAGAATTAAATGAACACTAAAGAAAAGTGGCGACTTGAGAGCAGTTACACTGTGTCTTGGAGCTTCTAACAGGAAAAGAGGTGATATACTGTACAGAGATTAAATATCTTGCAATACAATATCAATAGTCTGGCACCAATAACAGAAACACTTCCTTCTGCTTCCCATCCTTTCTGCAGATATTTGATTTCTTAAAATGCTCTGCTTTCTGGCTGTTGGCCCTGTTGCTGGTTTGACATTGAAATGATGCCACGTGGGTTCATGTACTGTGTGAACATGTTCACTGTTAATTGGAAAACAAAGTCCTTTATAATGCAGCAACTAAACACAAAATACAGTATGTTTAATTCCTGCTTTGTAATTTTACAATCTTTAGGTATGTTTTGCTCTTCAAGATAGCTGCAGGTGCACAAAATATATCAGGTGCACACAACATTTTCTGCAAAATATTTCTGTACATATTTCCACGAACCTAATCTCATTATGTCCTAATCCTGACCCAAGCTAACCTTCAATTAATAAGACACAATCCTTTAGATGACACGGCCAATTGTCAGCCAACGTGTGCTAAGACATGTCGCACGGCTACATAAAGGTTAGCACAATCAGAATACCACACCGCATTAAGGAGACTGTTTCCATAATAGACTCTAAGCTCCTGGGCATTGCATCAAAGTCCCATCTCCCTTATCTTTCTTTCAAGCGCTTACGTTGGCTGATAAACAACAGAGGGATGAACGAACAGGGGGATAAATCTGATACGCTGTTGTCCTGGGGACAGGAAGCTGAATTGAGAGTGTGTGTCTCTATTCTCCCTCACTCTTCCTTCCCTGCCAGCTCAAGAAAGCAGGGAGGTGTGCACCCTAAACGAGGCGATTGTTGAAACAGATACCGGGACAAGAATGCAAACAATTACCTGATCAGCAGATCCCCCCCCTCCCGAGATGCTGACAAGAAAAGCCAGGACCAATACTGCAGCAAATTCAATACCTGAATGTCTAATGCTTGGACTAGACGACACAAGAGCTTTTTCTTTGGAATGGGGCTTGACGTGTTAAGCTTGGTGTCAGTATTTCCTGCTGTACTGTCCAAATAAAGGATGGTAGAAATATAGAGGTATACAAAAAAGATATGAACAGACGAGGAGAGACGAGGAGGGGAGGGTGTGTTCGAAGCTGATGTGCAACAGGTCAGGTAGCTTAAGAACAGAAGGAGGCAGAGGGATCAGGAGGGGAGATTTACTTGGTGGCCGTTTTGAGAGCAACATAGATCAGAAAGCTGATGCTTATCTGCAGCTGGGGAGGCAGGATAAGTTTAGAAGAGGATGAAGAAATTGAGAGCTGGTGAGTGTAACAAAAGGTAATGCAGCTGCAGGACATCAACCTTTTCTGAGAGGTAATGATCAGCTGTCGCCTGCAGATTTTAATTCTCCTCTGATCGTTAAGTTTAATGCATCATATGACCCATCACTCTCATGAGGCCTTCTCAATGGTTCTTTCATACCAGAGACTCCCTCGCGAACGTACATGCGAGTCACATGTCAGCTGTTGGTGTAGCTTTTTATTGAGGCTTCACAGAGTTCACACTTAGAATCTAATTGGAAGCTGCCGCACTCTTTCTAACTTTGTCTCAGTGCTTGAGGGAAATTCCTTCGTAATACAAATTGGGTTTGAGTTCTTTTTATAGTTTTGACCATTATTTCTGTTAGTTATGATGACAGTGAACCCACAAAAGTTACTTCTAAGATCTGCAAATGATGTCACATAATGATTTCCCCCCCCGCCCCCAAAAAACTTTTTATCTTCAACTTAGTTCCAAGACGCATTGTGTACTGGTTCGCTATTTAATAATGGTGGGTCAACCACAAGCTGTGAGGTTGGTCGGTAAACTGTCTTCATAATCATTTCACCCATTTGAATTTGAATAAATAATTTTAATATTTAACAATTTGGTAACAATTGCAACGGTCACATTTTCCTTCTTTTAGCTGGAGGTTTGAGTAAAATCTGCTTGATTGCCTAAACACTAGTTTTTCTCGTCCCGTTTTACTTCTTTTTAGTTGTTGTTGTGCTACAACATTTTTGCAATTAGCTTAATGAGTAGAACATTATTATCATCTCTAGGTAAAGCCAAAACTTTGAAGCTGGCTGTTTAAAACCAGAATTTCCCTTCAGGGATGACAGTGCAGTACACCTCCATCATCAGCTCCTCTGTAAACTAAACCTTTTTCACTGCAACTCCATTTCTCCTCTGTTTACTTACCCAACTGAGAGAGTTAGTTTAATCAGGCCACCGGAAGGAAAAGTGAACTTCCCACAGGAATGCCGAGTTCTTGAGGTTGCAGCACGTCTCTACTGTTAGTTCATGTAATCATCTTATAATCTATATTTCACCTCTCTCTCCTGCATGTTCAATAAGCCAATAATGGTGCGGTCTCTAGTGTTAACACATGTTCTTAGCATCCTAATTTCTCATGATATGAATCTTGCAGAAAGTCCTATATGCTTATGAATGGAGCCTGTGTGTCTGCATTGCACTGTATGACTCTACTGTGGGACATTTTGTTCTCCTCTTTCTCCTCTCCCCCAAGGTTGTTTTGGTGCATTCAGATCGCGCTTTGTCATCACCCTTTGTATCCAGGTTCTCATTCTTCTCACCCTTTGAATGTGCCGCTCTCCGTTTGTCCCTTTCTTGGCTCTCCTTACCCTTTGTCTCATCCCGTATCATTTATTGCTCTCCCTTCATTTTGCCTGTCACACTGGTCTCCCATTCCTCTCTACTGTATAGCTCTTACCAGCAAATGTCCTCTTTCCAGACATGCATCTGACCCTTCTCCTACCTCTTTCCATCCATCACTCTCTCTCCGTCTCTCTCTCCCATTTCCCCTCTCTCCCAACATCCCTCCAGAGATAATTACTACAAGCCTTGTGAAGATCAACTTGTATTTAAACAGCTGAATAAGCAAGGCCTTGGGCTGCTGACAGTCACTATTCAACCAGCGTCAAGTGAAACAGTGCGGTAGAAAATAATAGTTTGCGTTATAGAGGACATCTAAAAACAGCGCTGCAAACAGTCTGGTGCTTTCTCAATGTGTCTCTGGTAATGCTCAACGCTCGTGGCTTAAATCTGTCTTTATACCATTTAGTTTTGTGGCCACACATTCGTGTTGACATACTGTATGCATACATTTAGATAATTGCAAATTAATGAACCCATCTAGCATCTGGACAGACACAGCTAGTGCAGGAAATTGGAATTTGTGTAAAAACATACATGCATTTCTGCATTGATGCACTTCAATATATCACGTGTAACGTTACGTGTATGTGCTTTTTACCAACAAATACAAACCTGCTTCATTATAAGTGGCAGAGAGCTTGTCCAGCATTTCTCTGTCCAACGTCAGTATCTGCTGCTCCAGGATGGACGGATAGGAGAGGCTGACCCTTTCCTTTTTTTCGTCTTTCTCCTTGTCTTTTTCTCTGTCTCGCTCTTTCTCCCGTTCATAGGTCAGCAGCTGCTGGCGCAGAGCCTCTGGCAGGTGGGCCTTAGCAAAGTCAGCAGCAGCCTGATAATGGAGAGCAGAGGGAGAAAGAAGAAGAATTAGATGGCTGCAGATAAAAATCGGTTTGGTTAATAAAAAAAAAAAACAAACACTAGCAGAGGTGTAACACAATGTATTTGAACACATTAAAGATGTTTCTAAGTATGCTTGTAAAAACTGACCATCGTCAAACAGTGGCATTAATTACATGATGTTTATGTCACCATTTCTAAAAAGATGGAACATCTGAGGTGTGCTAAAAAAAAACCCTGAATTGATCAGACATTTTTGGGCACTGAAGTAAAACCACCATTGATTCCACTGCCTTCTAACATATATTTTCACTTTTTTTTGGACGTTTTTAATACAATTAATGTACAAAAAAAATGAGTGATTGAGAATGCAAGCGTTAAAACAAACATTTGACATTTTAGGAAATACATTCAATTCATATTCTTGTGGAAAGTTAGATAAGCACAGTGTTTGCTTAGCTTCAACACTGGAAGCAGAGGGCAAAGCTAGTCTGGCTCTTTGCAAAATTAAACAAAAATCTGCCAACCGGCACCTTTAAAGCTGACAAATTATATCATGTTATACCTTTTGTGTTAAATTCTCGCAAAACCCAGAATTTAGAAATGACATGTTGTGGTCCAATGAGATGACATGTGCTGGGATTATTCCTTGTCTGGGCCAATAACTCTGTGAAATATTACATCGCTTTGTAGGCTGCTAGCAGCAAGAGAGTAGAAAGGCTTATTTCCAAAAATGTCTTAAAACCTTTTCATTTATTTTTGACACAAAATATTGCAATGTAGCTCCAATCTACTTTTATGTAGCTATACACAGCCACACACTGTCTTTGGCAAGTAACATAAACAGAAGGCTACAGTAGCAGTAACCTGCTTGTCCTTTCTGCCTTGCTGAAGCAGATAAATCACAGATAAGCAGAGATAAAGAAAAAGAAAGTGCATCGCCAATCAAACAAGCTCACGCTGTGGGATAGAGCTGAGCTAGAGAAACTGTATCCTCACCTCTGCCTATTTTGCTCTACGGATAACACCAACTAACCCTGTTTTCACACATTCCCACTGCTGGTTCAGAGCAAATAATGCCTGCCTCCCCAGGCTTAGGACTCTAGGAAGAAAAGTCAGCCCAAGGTCATAAAGTACAAATGTCAGATAATATACTGCTGACATGCCACTGATCTGCATCATCCCAGATTCATAAAGCTCATATTTCATACATGGATTCCCCTGGCAGAAAGTCTGACACCTGCAACACAGCGAAAGCAGGGGATTGAAAAACACTAACTGTCCAGGTCACAGGAGTGAAAAAGTTTGCAATTTCCTGGTACTGAATATAATGATTTAAGGTCATATGACAGAAATCCACAGATGAACCCGATGTCTCAAGTGCTCATACACCATCCCCATTTAGCTCTGTCGTTCCTATCTATACCTCCCTCTCTTTCTGTCTCTCCATCTATATCTCATTCTGCTCTGGGAAATTGCTTTCAAGGACTCAGATAACCCTGCCTCCTCTGCTTTCCCTCTACACATGAAAACAATTCATCTACTCCTCTCTTGTTCTATCTTGTCCGCGTTGTTGAAGCTTTCCTCTGCAAGCTTTGTCAATCTTCCCCTATCTTCTCCAATGAAACCCAAACATTCTCAGTGTACATACACCCATTCGTGGGTGTATGAGTCCGTCTTTCTCTCATTTTCCATTTCCCACAGTCCCATGGTGATGTTCAATCCAAAATCACCAAAGATCTTTTCTTTATCCTTCTCTGATTGTCCTTTCTCTTGTCTGACAACAATCATTGCTTACATACTTTTGTCCTTCGGTTACCATGCAGCGAGCAGAAGTCACAGAGCAGGTTCAAAGGTCATAAATAGAAGAGGAAGTCTTTTGTCTTCTTGAGTTTTACTGTGCCAATTACCACCTGGTTTAATTGTGTGCCTTCCAGTCCTTAACAAAGCACTGGGGTCACAAAACCTTTATCCGGCAACATTCCTTCGAAGCATTTGACTGCACATGCACATGTATTTACCAGCCAGTGGGAAGGAGAAGCCAAGTCTTGGCCATCTGATCATCTAACCTGCTGGCTAACCAGCCTGGCACATCTAACACCAGCACAGAAGATGAAAGGAGGGAAGGGGCGGATGTGGGAGGGATAGCAGGGATGGATGGGGATGAAGACTGTGAGATAGAGGGATAAAGACTGGGATCAAGGATAGTAAAAAAACGAGGGAACAAAATGAAGGATAAGACCAGTGAACGGCATAAGAGCACAATGAAGGAATGCAGAATATATGGAATAAACACAGCTACCTGGAGGAAAGTTATCCAAGCTGAAATAGACAAAGAGGGGTCAATAACAAAAAGTCTCTCTTAGCAGTAAAGAAAGTAAGAAAGTGTTGAAACTAAAAGTGGACTGGACAGGTAATGTAGATGACTTTATATGGTCATGTGGAAAACGAAACAAAATTAAATGAACAAGCGTATAAAAGAGAGAGAAGTACTCTAATAATCCGCAGCATGAGAGGTTTATTTTTAAAATGTGCATATTCATGCTGGTGCACTTCTATATTTGTTGGTGTACCACCTGTTATATATAATGCAGGACGTAAACTGCACCACCTAGGGCAGGCTGATACACTTGAACAGTCAGTTTCAGTTGATATCAATAACGAATCATTACTTTTAAATGGCCTATTTTTAATAAAGACCACCGGAACAAAGGCTTAATTTAACTTTAAAAACCTTACTTTGAATTTAACCCCACAATTTAGCTTATTTATTAAGGTATACAGGTCATAATTTTAATGTCAGCACAACAATGAAAAACATTTAAAATGAACATTTAAATAAAAATAAATTAGAACATTATGAACAATACTCACACTGATATTTATTGATGTGTCTATCATCGGTGCATATCGCTATATTTTTATTGCCTCAGCTTAACACCACCTGTGTACTAAAATGTATGTCCTACCCAGTGTATCTTTATGTATTATAACTATATTGAAGTGTCACCAAAAAGTGACAACTGACAAGAAAGCTGAAGCATGCAGTCTACTGATTTTGATGCCTGGGAGTCAAATGTTTTAATATTCACTCATCTTTTACTTCCAGTGGGACATTCTTTTTTTCCAGCTAAATGTTACACAGTGCTCACTCCTTCGTAGGTAACTGACTGTGTTGAGGTTGGGCTAGAAGTTTGGAGGTTTCTCACTGAAAATAGCTCTTTGCTGAAGGTTAAAACGACATTTATGGGTGTCTGGTGACCCCATGGTTTCGGTGAATAAGATATAACTGCAACATCCAGCCACGAGACCTTTGCTGCATGTTCTACTCCTCTCTCTCGCCATCTCTGTCTCTCTGCCTTTTTCCCCATCTTCTTTGAGGCTGTCACCTGTCAAAATGAAGGCATACTGCCAAAACTGAAACGATGCTTAGAAAGCAGTAAGAAATCAGCCAAAATGTAAAGCTGCGGGCATTAAAACAATGCAGGGAGCTGAAAAAGGTCTGTAAAGCTGAGGGAAACTGCAGTATTGAGTGTTTGAATTATCTGTGAGTTTGTCTCTGCACATAATTTTAACTCATAAATACAAAAGTGCACAAAAGTTTAAAAAAAAGTTTTAGCCAGTAAAAGGAAAGATAGGATGCTTTCAAAAGTAATGCCCTGAATAACTAACTTAATATGACACTCAAATCAATATTTGGGGTGACTTTGCCTTTGAAACAGCACTAATTATACAACAAGAATGAATCTGGGACCAAACAGACAATCGTGTTGGGTGATAAACAAAACTCTTACCATCGAAAGCGCCTCTAGCTTTTGCACAGTACTCCAAGGAAATTGATTCACAGTCAAATTTAAAACATTGTAGCTGGTGCAAACAAGGTGGCAACCAAAATTAACTTTCATTATCAGTAATCTTACATCTCTCTTTTTAAAAAAAAATGTAATCTATTGATTGTTGAAGTATTCTAAAAAGTCTACCAATTGTTTTTATCCAACTGATTCTAAAACGATGAAGTGCTCCATTTGAATTGAAGCATTTTGAGAAAAATGTTTGCCATTTTCATTTGCTCAACTCACCGATTTATCAATCAACAGTTTCAGATTTTATTATAAAAAATATATATTGTTTGCGGGGGCACCGGGATCTTTCTGTGTGGAGTTTGCATGTTCTTCCCGTGCAGCGTGAGTTCTCTGCCTGTTCTCTGGCTTCCTCCCACACAGTCCAAAAACACGTTGAGGTTAGTTGGTGATTCTAAATTGTCCGTAGGTGTGAATGTGAGTGTGCTTGGTTGTCTGTCTCTAAGTGTAGCCCTGCGATAGACTGGTGACCTGTCCAGGGTGTCCCCTGCCTTCGCCCTAAGTCAGCTGGGATAGGCTCCAGCCCCCCGTGACCCTAGAGAGGATTAAGTGGTGTATAGATAATGGATGGAGATATATTGTTTGCATTGGAGAAAATTATTATTACGACTGAGTCGCCACACAGAAGATGTACCTCCTGAGCAATCAGTCATGGCGGTGCAGAGAATCACATTGCGCTCCCCTTCACACCAGACTTCACTTGCACCACACATGCATGCACAAAACTGTAAAGCAAGCACACACAAACACTCACGCAACCTCCTATCTCAACAGGACCACCTACACACTTTCTATCATCTACCCTGTTACCCAAACACTCCCTCCTGACTACTAACTGTGAGCCACTCAGATGCACAGTCCACCAGAAATAGTCGGGCCTTCTAAACATTACCATCCATCATATCGCGAGGCCAGCAGAAACGAGGAAAGTCATCCGAGTTTTCCTTTAGAATCACCCTGAGGGAGTTTCATAACTGAAGTAGAAAAATCTCTTTCTCTGACAGATCAAGCATGCAGATGGAGAGAAGAAGAAGAAAGGGGAACGGAGGGGGAGAGACTGGGGAGTGGTGTTAGAACCATTCATTAGCATCACTCAAGCACATCATTAAAGAAAAAGAGAGACTCCAGCTTA